AGCTGAAGTAGCTGAAGTCCAGAGTGTGGAGAACTAAACGGAGCAAATCCAGAGCGGCACCCAAACGTATGTCAGGCCTGAAGAGGTGAAGCTGAGACGGCTTCAGGTTTGATGATCAGAGGCAGATGATAAACTTTGACTGTTCTGCTTTTACAGTAATTACTTAAAATGTGTTGAAGCAGCTCTGAGGTTTTTACACCACCTTCATTTTAATACAGCTAACCCCACAATTCACGTTCTTCTTCTTTCATAACTCCATTTGTAGTTACTGTGCTTTGTTTAACTCTTTGTAGTTTAGTCGAACGTGTTTGTGTTAAATCATTGATGAAACCTTTAAAATCAACCTTAAATAATTATTTGGCCGAATCTTACTGAAAATTAGAAAAACAGTTGAAAGGTAACAACTTGTCTTCAGCATCCGTGCTGTTGTTACAGGACAGGCTCAGAACGGCCCTCCTGGCACTTCCAGTGTGGTAACCTCGGTGGGTAATCAACTCATGCAGCTCTTCCATATCATTGTCCAAACACCTCACATTCCACGTGACGATGGCAGGAACAGACTTCCTTTTAGCTGCGAGTAGCCTCTGCTCGGGGACTACGGGCCATCGTCCGTGACGACACTCTGCCTCCAGAGTAAACTGGAAAAACACCAACAGGAGCAGCTGTAACGGCCGTCAGGCTCAGAGCAGCACCAGGACATTATTGATATTATTAATAGAGCAGTTGCCGATATTTCAAATGAAATAGAGGCTAATATGAATATATCTGAAGCGGTGGCGTTCCCTTTGGTTAGGCTGTGGCAGGAGAGGCAGCAGCTTATTGAATAACGTGACCACTCTGTTTCCAGCTCATCTGCTGATTTTCCTAATCATCACTGCATCTGGCTTCTTTTAGACACGTACTTAACATAATTAAAGACTTCCTGCTGATGTGAAAATATAAGGAAATAAAGATGAGCCATTTCACACTCGAGGTGCTGCTGCTGCTTCTTTTGTTTCCCTGGAAGGGCCGATGCAAATAAGTTTGGATTTGAATGAGTTCAGTCAAACACACACAGGAAGTTAGAAGCTCAGCACTAAAACCACATACAGTACGGTTTGAAATGCTGATGTCCCACAGAGGTGCTGCAGGGCTGATAGGCCAGAAGGAGGAAAGTAAAAACAGAGGATGAGAACGTGAGCCGACAGACGAAGAAGGAAGTCACGATTCATCCTCGAGACTTTTTTGTAACCAGAAGAACGAAGACGAGTGGGAGGAAGATATTCAGGAGACTCTGTTTCCTCTCATCCCCTGATACGAACATCATTTATTGTTATGTAATTATGCCGCAAGCAACGTGAGACATTTCTATGTTGCACAACAGAGATCTTACAGACGTTCTCCCTTTGTTACAACACATTTCACCAGCACCAATGAAAAACAAAAAACTGAAGATTGGCCCTGCACTGCACTCGGACATGTGCTTTCTTGTTGTGTGCAGTGCATTCGCAGGCTGGTCTGAAATGCAGCAAAACACAAAGTGTGTTTTTCTGTCTGTTTGTGCCCCGGTGACTCTGCTGTTCGCTGAACCCGAGAAACACGTGCAGGGAGTTTCACCGCACGGCCTCCTCTGCACAAATGAAAGCATCTGTAGTCTCGATTGATGCTTTCTCCTCCGCCTCCCCCTTCCCCTCCTCCTCAGTCCTCATAAGAGGCCATTAGAGTAACATGATATTACAGTAAAGTAGGTCCACACTGGTTTCAGTGTTCAGCTGCTGAATCATAGGAATATGTTTATGGTTTAAATAGAACCGAGCAACCCAGAGAGAGGAAGAGGGAACCGGCTGCTTCGTCAGGGTGGTGATGCTGTAATCATGCAGCAACTTCCAGGGCGATAAAATAAAGTATGGTAACTGCTCTGGTTCTTTTAAAGCACTTTTCTACTCGTCAAAGCACTTTGCACAACTCTCACAACCAGCACTTTTCTATGTAAGTGCTAATATCTAAGATTCATAGACATTGATAATCAGGGGTTAAGTAGGATTTAATGAAAATAATATTTTTTATTGTGCTGCTGCTGCTCTGAGGTTTACTGCTTCCTTTTACCAAATACATCCTACAATATATACACTCACCATCCACTTGTTCAACTGGTCATTAACACAGACATCCAATCACACGGTGGCAGCTCAAGATGACCTGCTGAAGTTCAGTCTGAGCCCCACAATGAGGAAGATTTCCCTGACTTTGAAGACGAGCTGGTTTGAGTATTTCAGACGCTGCTAATCTGCTTGGATTTTCCTACCAAGCTGGTTTGAAAGGAAGGAAACAGTAACTCTGGCTTTTTCTGCTGACCTTTCCTCCTGTTGTTCAGTTGTTGTTCAGCTCGTTCTAGAACAAACTGGTGCGCTTAATATCAGCGTGACGCTGCATAAAGTGATGGAGGCTCTGTGTCGTGCTTTGGTCTGGATGGAAACTCACTTTCACTGCAGGGCCTTCGAAGCCAACAGGACACCCGACAGAGGCCTCTTTGTTTTCTGCGTGTTAATGTACAGCATGTTCTCTACAGCCCTGGATCTCCATTCATGTATATCACAACTCCTATCATGTCTCAAAACGTCCGTAATCAGCCATAATGAGATAATGATTATTCGGAGAATTCCCAGAACTTTGAGATGCAAGCGTCTGATACTGCCTAAGTAACTTTATGAACTGTAATGAAGTAATTTATGTCCCTTTTGTAAAGAAAACAGTGGGTTTGTAGATATGAAGACTTGGAACGGCCTTTTTCTCGTCTTTCTCTCTTTCGTGTCCTTTGTCATCCACAGATTTATTCCCTTTGCCGCACACTTAGCGTCTCTGTTCTCTCTGCAGCGGGACTTAAGTGGAACATCAGAGAGAGAAGAGATCATTAGAGGAGAGGAGAGCGGGACAAAGGGCAGAGCAGAGACAACTAGAGCAGAAAATCTCAAAGTAGGATGAAACAGAGGAGAACCTGACGGAACAAGGCATCAGTAACCATCAGTCAGTGGGTCATCAAAAGGAAATGACTCAGCAGAGTAACAATCGAAGGGGCGCGCCACCCGAGTTATGTTCATCTACTGAGCCGGGCAGGGAGACAAAAAGATGACACGGATTACATCACCCACAAAGCAAACAGCATCTTTTTACTCCTGCAGCTGGTTTTATGAATGAAACTTCAGTCTGTTGGCGTAACTTGGCGATTAAATCTACAACCCTGACACGACGCCTCTGTCAGATAAAACTCAGGTTTAGAGTAAGACAGCAGTTTGGATTAAAACGCTTCACAGCTGTAACAACGCTCACTGACTAACAAGCTTTATTATTAGATATGCAGATGACACCCTGCTGTAGCTCGGCATCTATTGAAGTCGGTGTGTGATGCACTGGGTTAAGGATTCAGTTGAACTGGGCCAGTGTTTGGGCCTGACAGCGATACAATATTCTGTCCGTTTGTAACGATTTGATTTTGGTCTCAGTTGCTGAATGGTTACAGTTCAAAGAGTCGCAACTTTAGGTTATCGTGTCTTTTATTCCATATTCTCTGTGGAACCAGAAGAGAATGATTCCAGTAACACTGATGTCTGTTTACGTGAGCCGTTCGAGGCTGTGCTGCTGTTGTAGCGACAGTCACATGTACACCAAAAACAAAAACATACTCGCATGAGGAGGCTTTAGATTGATATCTGGGGTCGTTTCAGTTCATCTGTCCAGCTGTGTTTGAGGGAAAAAATAGAAACGCTAACAAGGAAACGTGGATTTGCATCTGAGACTCGTACAGATGCAAAACAACCCAGGAAGCTTCACGCACAAGCAAATGTGATTCACTGACGATCGGGCCGGTCGGCGTGAGAGACGAGGAAAAGAGCGAAAAGGTCAGACTGATCAATGCGACACTTCAGCAAGTCAGAGAGAGGTTTACTCCTCCATCAGTCACAGGATCTCCAGTGCTCACTGAGGGAGGCCTGCTCCTTTATTGCTATAAAACAGTGTGCTGCCTCCCTAGCATTTACATTCAGTCTTTCACAACAGTTCCTGCCTCACAAATGTGCTGAGCATGTTTCCTTCCTCAGAAAACAATTTATAACCTCCATTCTCTACATAGAGAAATAAGCGTCCATCTGACTTTCATTTTCTAGAGCCTTCTAATAATGCAGTACATCAGAAACAACAGTAATAATAAGATAATAAGAGCACATTTGGTGCCGGCTCACAGCATAACAGGGAACGACACTGATCCATGGAATAATCAAATACCAGCATATTTGCATAAACCTGCAGTTTTGCTTGCAGGAACTTTATTATTTATGTTATAAAAAGTCGGCTTTTATTTAGAAGGAAGTAAAAATGTTTGGGAAAGAAAAACTGTGTCGAAAGCAAATTTCATCTGATGAATTTTCTATGTTGTAAATAGTCACAGGGTATAAGGCGTGCTTAAGGTTGCGTGCGACTTTGTACTTCCTGTGAGGGTCTGATTTAATTTGAAGCTTGAAGTTTGTTATAGAAAAGAACCCAGAGTTTGTGTTTAGATTGTGACCTTTGGAGTGGGTGTTGGATGGATCTGGTTGCAGTTTTTAACAGAGCTCTGAAAGTTGCTTCCTGAGCTTCTGAAGCTCTGAGGATTAAACATGATGGAAAAAGATGTTAAAAAGCACCAAAGTTAAACTCATCCCTGTCCTTCAGGGGCCTCAAAGACCTCTACACACCAAACATCTTTCCTGCATTTGGACTCGCCTATTCTTAATCCCGCCTTTTACTCCACCTGAGTTTGCTGGATGAAGCTCGATTGATCAGATCCGATAAACAGATCCGATCAATCAGACATCAGTGTGCTCGCTTTGAGGTTTGTTTTCTGCATAAAGGCGTTTATGTTACGCAATCAGTTTGCATCTGAAAAGTTTTGCGTTGCTCCTTCGCAGCACGCTCAGTGTGCAATGGGCTTAACCTGAGAGCATTCACAGACTGACTCTGGATTAAATAACGTGCACGTTTGTGTCCAGATCTGTGTAACGATGACCTCGCTTGCCTCCGTGTCTCTGCAGAGAAGGACTACAGCAGCCTCTGCGAGCGGCAGCCAATCGGACGGCTGCTCTTCAGGCAGTTCTGCGAGACTCGAGCCGAGCTGAAGCGCTGCGTCAAGTTCCTGGACGCCGTGGTAAGCAGAGCCGTCTTCGTCTGACCTCTTCTCTTTGTGTGCCTCAGCATCTTTCTCTGCAGGGTTCAGACTGTCCTGTAAGCCCAGGGTTTATCAGCCTCCCACGTACGCATCAACGTGAAAACAGCGTGACCAATCAGAGACGGAGAGGTCAGCTGACAGCAGAGAGGAACAGACACGATTAAACTGTATTATTAGAAAACTGTTTCTGAGTTTAAACACTTAATACAGACTGAAAGTATCATCTGAGGGTTTGTGTGGCAGGAAAAGTGTGATACAGCTGTTCATTAATGAGTGTTTGCTTTAAGCTGTGAGGTCAGTATGACTGCAACAGTGAAAGAGGCTGACTGAGTTAGTACACTTATCAGTGTGTGCAAGGATCTGACATTTAACTACAGCTTGTAATTAATCAGTTGATTAATGTGTTGTTTAGATGTGCTTCAGGCAGCTTGAAGACCTCATTGTTCAGTGCTGTGTGAGGAGGTGGAGGAGGTGGAGGAGGCGCTCCTGTAAGAAACCCTGGGTCATTCCTGTCATTGATGCTGTTAGGGAACGAGGCAGTGATTTCTGTACTGCTCTCTAAACTGCACCGGGTGTAACATCGTTATTTAGTAGCTTTAATACAAGCATATGACAGGAAATGAGGTAGAATATACAGCAGGCCTTTAACAGGAAACAAACACTTTGACATTTAAACGCTGTGATTATAGCACTACATGCACAATATTCACTCACTTTTAGCTGATTTTTGGCCTCCAGCGACTCACACTGATAAAGGAAGTTAGCTCATTATCAGCTAAATGCTGCTCTCAGTTTACAGCAGGAAGTAACACACAGTAACAGAGCACGGTAAAGTGGCCTATTTATGCTTCTTTCTGCTGTGATACATAAACAGTTTTTTCAGGATTCGAGTCGCCCAAAATAAATGCACATGTGCCCCAACTGTCCAAGCAGGCCAACGCCGAGCTGTGGGAAAATTCTCCGGGTGAACGGACCTTCCAAAAGCTGATTGGCGAGTTTAATTACCCTGAATGCCCAAATGGAGCACTTGAAGATGAGGAGGAGGAAGTAGGGTTTAATATCTGTTTAATGAAATACCGGAACTCTTGACTTCTGGGAACAATCTGCGTCACTGAGTCGCTCCTTCCTACCTCCCATGCTGTATCCCCGTCACACACACACTCCGGTGGGAATGAAACAAAGTGTGAGGGAAGCATTCCTGAAGTGAGCGGAGCGAGTTACGACTCGTTTACTGCAGCAGATGAGGTCACACAGTGTGTTTCTGTATCTAAAACCATTACAGTGGGGACATTTCTGCTTTATGAGGACATTCAGAGTGGTCCTCACAACTTCAGGGACCAGACGCAGTTTAAAGAGCCAGGTTCGTCAGGGGCAAGGTTTGAATTAAGGGTTTAGGAATCCTGATGTTCAGGTTTTTTAGTCATGAATTTGTTGATGATTTTTTTTGAACGAGGACTTTCTGGGGACCACGACTTTCTTGGTGCCTCTGTGTATTACTTCATCACTGTCATCTATGTTTATCCTCTGGGGATATGCATACAAATTGAATATTAATCTACCAAATTATACTGGAAATGTTTTGGTTTGAACCACTCAAAAGATGAAAAGGAGCACAAATCAGCATCAGGAAGTTGTTTTGAAGTTTAAAGAATTGAGGGGTCGTCCTCCGGAGACCACAGATTTGTAGATGTCCCTACGTGTTAAATATCAGTAATTCATCACTGTCATCTGTGATTATCCTCTCGGGATGTGTTTACAAAAATCCAGTCCATGTGATTACACTCAAGATATTTCAGTTTTATAGAGCCGCTGCATGTTGTCTTGAGTTGAGGGTTCATTCCCTGGGAAATCTATCCAGTCAGTGCAATAACAAGTTTGAACAAGTCCAAAATCTTAAAATCTGATCTGAAACCACCTGCTGGTGATACGGTAAAGTCAGAGGATAATCAGTGTTTGCAGGGTTCACTCTGCAGAGACCATGAATCTCTGTGCAAAAGTTCATAACAAATGAGGGTTTGAAGCATAAAGAGCTCTTTGACCTGTCAGACAGTATCACACTCAGAACAAAAACAAACATTATTCAGACAGGAAGTGTGGGATTATTTTATATTAACTGTCCTGGTTCATGGCTAATCCTGTCTGAGCTTAGGTAAGGGTAAGTCAAATTTCACCTGCTAATATGGGAAAATAGTAAAAGCAAATGAAAGCTGTCAGGTTGTAACTGCGGAGGCTCATCAGGTTGAGGTAATGTCAGATTAACCGTTTAAGCCTGCATTTCTTTAAGTTTTGCCAATTTGGTGTTATTAACAGTAGAAAAGATTTGTTAAAGTGGATCAGGTAATGGTTGCAGTCCTATCTGCTGAGGTAGAGGAGGTTAATGAAGGCAGTCTGCTCTGCTCAGCTGACTCCAGTCTGATGGCTTTGCAGTTTTCAACTCGCATTCGAAGCAATTATGCTCCCTTTTACCCCACAACCGCTTCCCGTCTCGTCTCTGAGAGCCCTGCGAGAGGACGAGATGGAGAGGGGAAAATGAGATTTGAACCGTCTCCGCTGTCACTTAGCATTAGTTTACAGGCTCTCGCTGCCAGAGGGGAGAGGAAGCACTTTGGGGTTTTCCAGTCAGGCTCAGTTTACTGCAGGTCATTCACAGGGAGGAGTAGATGCAATCGGTTCGGGTGTGGGGGAGGAGGGCTACAAAAAGTCTTCAATTAACTCATAAAGTGGGTTTTCTGAAGCCGAGAGGAGGCTGCAGGGGACACACACGAAGCTGGTAGTTCAGCTGAGCAATCATTCAATAGTATGGGCTTTCAATACTGTCATCATATATTCACAGTTTCATCAGATCCAAATTAATGACTGAGTTATGTTTTTAAATGAAATGACATCTAGTGGTCATATGCAGAAATGCATCTAAAAATGAGCTTATGTGGAAAAAAAAGAAAAGAAAAAAAAAAGAGTTCACTTTAACCCAAACACTTCTCTAACTCTGTTTAGATAGCGCTATATAATCCATTATTATTAGTCAGGTGTTTTGATGACAGGATGCTAAAAAAAATACAGCTAGCAGCAACATGGTAAAACCCAAATAAAATAAATGTTTTTAACCACATTTTTCTGGCAATGCTGAAACTGAAAACCACATCCTGGTACTCTTCTCTTTGTGAAGGTCTGGCAGTGTCACATTGTAGTGCAGAAATTCTCAAAACTCCTTAGTTAGCTTGAGATGCCAGAAACTACCTTGTTTGTCTTAAGTGCTAAAAACTCTTTAGTTAGTTTAAAATGCTAAAAGCTACCCAGTTAGCATCAATTGCTAAAAACTACTTAGCCTCAGAAGCTAAAAGCAACCCGGTTAGCATCAATTGCTAAAAACTACTTAGCCTCAAATGCTAAAAGCAACCTGTTTCGCGTCAATTGCTAAATGCTACTTGGTTAGCATCGATTGCTAAAAACTACTTGGTTAGCATCAGTAGCTAAAAGCTAATTGATTATTGTTAATTGCTAAGAATTACTTGGTTAACCCTAATTACGAAAACGACTTTATTTCAAGTGATTAAAAAATACTCAGCAATAATTGATAAGTTACTGAGTTTGCCTCAAACATTAAAATTGACTTGCTTGGATTTAATGCTAAAAGCTACCTGTGTAGGTTCAGGCGCTAAAGCCTTCTTGGTTAAACTTTCTTCGTACTAAGAAATAAAAAGGCCCTAGAACATAATGTCACAAACAAAAAGTAAACTCAGGTCATGGCAGTAAATGAATTCACTGAAATAAGTTGAGCACAGTTTTGTCCTCAGATTGTGTTATTTGAGTATTAGCGCCTGCTGACAGCATGCTGATGTGTGCATTTCTCTGCAGGCGGATTACGAGGTGACACCAGATGAGAAGAGGAAGGAGTGCGGACAGGAGCTCATCGAAAAATACTTCAACCCAAAGGTACTTTCTGATGTTTCCTGTCAGGTCTGACATGGTTTTATTTTTATTAGGATGATATCTGTTAGTATTTTTGTTTATTGCCCACATGTACAGGATCAGAGATAGCTCAAAGCTCATTTCCCTCTGAAGCAGGAAGATATAGAAACAAGCCCAAACTGAAGACCAACGACCATCAAATGACCAAAAGGTTTCCACTGGCTTTTGGTCATTAAATGTGTCACAAACATAAAATATCTACAAAAATCACCCGAAAAGTGTCCAAACTGTAATGTTTAAAGAAAATTATTGCATTGGACGATCTTGAATTTGACAACAAAACATCAGTTTTGTTGTCAAAGTAGCAGAGGAGCTCTGTGGGAGTGATTTAAACTTTTATTAATGATGCATTCATTGACAAAAATATCAGACCAAAAGTCCTCAAATCTTTTCCATGTTTTACATTGTTTCTGTCTGTCGGTACCAGTGTGCTGTGACAGTGTGCACTATAGATTTATTTTATCATTTTATTCAAAATACATGTAAATTATTAAATTAATAAAACTCGTCATCACAGCAGACTGAATAGAGTCACTGAGTTTTGGACAAAGGGCTAAATTTATTTGTATTTTTTTAGTTTTTTACTGTTATTATTTTTCAGCCAGTTTTGTAGCAGAAGGTTCGACTGTCTTCTGTTAAACGCCCCCACTGTGGTTGAATTTTAAAACACCTGCCTCTAGAGCGTCCCTGAACGCATCACTCAGGAGGAAGCGCTCAGTCCGGCTCGTCAAGAAGGAAATCAGATTTAATCAGCTGATGATGGATGATAATGGGAGCAGAGCCGCTCATTGGCTGACCTTATGATGATGTAACTACCTGCAGTCCTGAGGCCTGAACTATGAAGGAGGGTTTGTGAGGTTCAGGATAATCCTGAAGTTTCAGTGTCATGAAGGTGGTTCACTTCTCAGCAGGCGAAGGTTATGTTTGACATAAGAGATCACCGCCTGCTGACCAATCAGATCTCTGTGTTTGATAGTAAGAGGGTCAAAAGTCTTTTCTCTCTACCTCAGGTGTTTCCAGGCCAGGTGAGATAGGTAGTCTGATGCCTGACCAGCATCTGTGCTTCTGATACTCTGATTGGTCATTGCCTGTGTCAGGATCAGTGAAGCCAGATAACAGAAAGAAATCCTGGCCTCGCCTCGTAGTTCAGGCCTCGGTTCAGGCTGAAGCTCCGCCCTGATGTTTCCTGCTAATTCTGTGTGAGCGCGAACGTGCAGGTCTGAACCTGCAGACGAACACAAACACCTCCCAGCTCCGTCTCAAACCTCATCCGTCCGGCTCTCTCTGTCAGAGTTACAGTCGGAGCTGATTCACTGTTTTCACCTGGATTTCATGTGTTTTTTTTCCTGTGCAGTCAGAGGACCACGTGCCTGAGGTGGAGGAGGCCATGATGGCTCAGTGCACAGAGAGGCTGCAGCAGGAGGCCTGCAAAGACCTCTTCAAGGACTGTACCAAGTAAGATTGCAGGGTTTTTAAGGATTAGTTTGCTGTTCTTTTGGATATATTTCCCCAGTTTAATCAGATCAGCTTTTTAAGGTTTGATTAATGTGCTTGTTCGGACTCTCGCTCACCTCGGACCCCAGGAACATTAAGGTTGAGAGGTTTTCACTGGGCAAGGGGATACTACCAAAAAACACACATAAACAAAAAGTGACTTGTAACACAAATGTAAAACCTAAGCTGTTAGATAAATCAAAGAAATTAAATCTGAGACCCCCCCACACACCTTACAGTCCGGAGTAAGCAGCCCTGAGGCTGAAACAAGAATCCTCAGTCTGTTCAGCAGCACGGGTCACGAGAACCTGACCCGGCCTCCTGAAGCGCGCCAAAAATCACACAAACAGGTGCGCTTCAAACTGGAAACGATACACCGAGTTACTTTAGTTTGATCTCAGTGATCCAGACCAGTGAAACCAGTCCATAACAAACTGTTTTCAAAGAAAATCAGAAAAGGAAACATTCAGAGCTGAGACCATTCGCCAACCAAAGACCTCACCAGATATTATTATTAGGAAACCCATGAACAGGCCGAGGTGCTATTTCCTGACTCTAATGTACATCTAATGACATCAGAGTTTACAAACCACAGTGGAAACCCATAAAACCAAAATAATATGGTTGTTGACTCAATCAGTACTTTTAACCTTCCCTTTCACTGCAGTTGAGTAAAGCTGGGATCCCCACAGCACCATTTACAAACTGGAGTAAGAAACAGTTTCCGTTTCAGGGTAAATAAATTAAATCAGCTGAGTCAAATGTATTCTTTTACCTCGAAATATTTAAAATACAACAGCTGCTCTTTTTGTTCACGCTTTCTCACAAAAAGCCTTTGAACTCTAGGACTCGTTTATGGCGTCAGCATTTACCTGATGATGGTCAAACACACGAGTAACGGCACCAACAGCTGACTCCAACAAAATAAGACGAGCAGCGTCAGACAGAAAGATGAATGTGCCGCATCCAGATCCTATCTCAAGTCCAAGCTGCTTCACTTTACTGGGAATATCACAAGATCTGGAATATTCTGCTTCACCTGCTGCGGCTTTAACCCGACTCTGTGGATGGGCAGTGATGTGCGATTTCCCCCACAATCTTCCTACTCAGACGCTTCATTTTATGGACACATGAAGGAAAATGTGATTACATCTACGTTTGAGAAGCTGCAGGTTTTCCGAGCGTGTGATGAGCTTGGAAACGAATCGGCGTTTGTTTGAACAATGCCCTGTTTGTGTAGGCGCGGCAGAGAAATTGCCACTTAATGTCAAATATAAGAGATTCAGTTGTGCAGATATGACAGACTTTATCCATTCTGCGTGAAATAAAACATCCCTTTGTGTCGAGGGTGTCGGCGTTAGCGCTTATCCAGAAATATCTCTGGTAAACATCAAGAGCCCTGCAGAGAAACCGGCAGCCGGGCTTTAAAGTCACAAGCTCGAGTCCAACTGAAGTCAGAGTTCAGAGCAGCGTCGCTTTTTAGAAGGTGATAAAGTCAACGGTTTTTTCAAACTTGTGTCCTGAGTGTTGTGTGTGTGAGGGGTCAGATTGGCCCAGAGGAGGACCAAACGTCCGAAGAGTTCTCGTCTAATAACGTTTGCTGGAGTGTTTCTGGGGTTTTTGTTACGCAACAATAATTCAATTCAGTTTTATTTATATCACACCAAACCACAACAACAGTCGCCTCACGGTGCTTCAGAATGTGAGGCAAAGAGCCGACAGCACTACAGAGAGATGCGTGACAATGAAATTCCAATAATCACAGGTTCATTTTAAAGCCCTGAGTCTTTGTAACGTCTCCAGTATCGGTGGCTGTTTGTCAGGCTGCAGATGACGTAAAACAAAACTAACTAAAAAAAGGAAAAGAAAAGTTTGACTTGAGCAGGTTGTAAATTTATTGAATACATTTAATGCTGCTTCTCTGATGCGGTGTGCTAACAACACTCACATGTTGATGCAGCGCAGAGAGGCAAAATCAACACCGCGATCTCTGAACTGCAAATGTAAAGCAGCCATCGTGCGTCAACTGACAGCTGACAGTAGACCATTCAAAGCTCTGTGTGGGTCACTCTGCGGCTGCCCACCTGAGGGTAACCTGCAGTTCCTCTAACGTCCACCGGAGGCTTCCTGCAGGATGCATACAGGGCACCCAAGGATGAAACATTTATGGCTAACGCTGTAATTTAAAAAGCCTGTGCATCGAAGCAAAGTCTCATTGAGGACACTGATGACCGAAGAAGAGGTGTGTGCAAGAGAGGAGGTTTACTGGCAGACCTGCAGGATTTCAGGAGCATCCAAAACAGGAAATAAATAAACGGGTTTGTGATAAAACCACGACAGACCCAGCGATGTTTGCATGCTTTGCAGCATCTTATTAACGGTCGCTGTACACTCAAACACCTCGGCTGCAGCTCACAGCCGGACACATACCAACAACAACAAAACTAATGACAACAGCACAGCCTTTTGCACTGGCGAGGTGATTGCAGATGCCGTGCAGGTGCGTCCATCTCACCTGCAGCAGCATCACAGACCACGCCTCGCCACAGAGTTAGTCTGCACTGTACCTTTTTTTTGTCTGGCTTTTAGATGACTCGACTAGTCTGAGATCTCTCCGTTGTCCAGCCATCCGTCCATATTGCTTATCTAAGTGCAGGATGGAGCAGCACCTCCACCAGCTCATCCGCAGAGACAGTGAGGGACTCTGAAGCCAGACATGTTATATCATCTCTGCAGCATGTCCCTCCTCCTAGTAGGGGTCTGCTGGGAGGTGTCCTACTCAGTGTCCTGAGCATGGACTGACTTCTTTCGATGTGGAGGACCATTAGCTCTGCTCTGAGCCCCTCTGAGCCGTTTAATCACTAATAAAGTGTCACCAAGAACATCCCAACTCACAACAAAGTCATGTTCAACTCGGCGGGTTTGTGTCCACATGAAGGGAATAAAATACCCGAAAATCCTTCATTTTCCTGAGTCCAGTGTGAGGTTCACCTTAACCCAACGAGACCAGTCAGGTCACAGCAAACAGGAGACGCAGAAATAATTAGATTGTTGACTTAAATGACTTAAATGATCGGAGATCTCTCAGTGATGAAGCTGAATTCAGTGTGAAACTGACAGCTGTTGTGTTGTGTTTTCCAGACTGATCCACGACTACCTGAGCATGGCGCCCTTCGCAGACTACCTCGACAGCATGTACTACAACAGGTTCCTCCAGTGGAAATGGCTGGAGAGGTAACATTTAAGCATAAACACCAACTTTCTCCTTCTTTCTTTCTGCTCTCTGTGTGCAGCAACTTTTTCAACTTAAAAAAAATAACTCAGGCGCACTCAGAGGCACTAAATCCTCCACAGGACCAGTACGAACACGCTCAGCTGCTTCATCAGTGTCCTTCAATCTCCCCGGGGGGGTGAGAACAGTCTTTACAAACAAAATCACCGTCACACGTTTAAAAATCTGATTTGGAAATTGCTCAATGGGGATGTTTCACTTTTCTGTTGAATATTATGGGGTAGCTACTCGAACAGACAGCCTACAGGGGGTTCTGCAGAATTTCAAGCAACACCTGAGGGCGTTTGCTCAATCATGCAGTGTGACCGAGCAGTGTCTAATCACGTCTTCAGAAATAAGAGATAAACGCTTCCACAGAGCTGTGCTGAGCGATAACAGGTTTACAGAAAAACAAAGGATGACAATCTCTCCAAACAGCTCCAACGTGTCCTGCAAACAACTCCTAAATACCTGAAGCAAGAGCAGCGATTCACCATCAGCTACACTTTTCTATTCCTGGATTCTTTGAGGTTTGAAGGTGGGTGTGGCTTCTGTGACATCGTACACATCCTAGAGCAGAAAAAACCCAACTGCTCCTGGCACAGGGAGTACTTAAACAACTGGACTTCCTATAAAAATCAAGCAGTCGGCCCCTGCTGGTTGGCTGAAAGAGACGTCCATGTTTTTGTACACAGCAGATGGCGCTGTAGATCGTTTTTAAATCACACCAGAAAATAGACACAGCAGGGAGTCTCAAAGTGTGGGCCACAGCCCCCTGGTGGTCTATGAACGAACTGCAGTTTGGCAAAAAGAAACAAGTTTTTTTCCACTAACCAGTTCATGTTTTGGGAGGGCTGCAGCCTATCACAGCAGCCATACTGGACAAGTCTGTGGCAGGGCTCACACACTAGTATTTAATTAATTTGTTATCGCTCATTTGCAAGAAAAGTAAAAGGGAAGCTGTTTATAGAGAATTGAGATCAAGCAAGTCTTTGTGAACCAGCAATGAAAGAAGTTCTTCTTCTTTAGTCTTGTGTGTCACACTTGTTTTTTTTTTAAGATTTCAGTGTGGCTTCCTTAGAAATGTTTGGTTAATTATGAAGCGACCTGCAGCTGCTCGAAGGACGCAGTGAAACCACTCAAGGTCACATCTGGCGACATTAACTTTTCCCTTAGGATATTCTGTCACATGACTGCGCTGCCACTTTAACACACAGAGTAATTGGAAGAAATAGTTTCTTCTTTCAACACTGAGAAAAATATCCACAAGCCAAAATCCAGACTTCCCACAGGGACATCTCCTGATGAGGACTCCCAGGAAACACCAGGGTCCTGATTCCTGGTATTCAGCTGTAAGCACGCTCTGATGAGTGCTTTGTTAATTTGTTTGTGGTGGAGTAAGCCGACACACAATGGCATAATGGCAGTTTTGTCAGGTTTGTTTGCTTCTCTGATGGTTCCCAGTCTCCACTTTGAAAACTTCAGCGATGCCGCAAACAAACTCTGGATCCTGCAGACTGTTTTGCTTTCATTGTTTAAACTTCTGCTCATGATGGATTAGCGGAAACAACACTCTTGGGAAACCAGGGAATCTTACAGGGATCCACGTTTAGCAGATATAAAACACGAGTCTCGTTTGTTCCAGCCTCACATGCCGTTTAACAGTTTTTTTTAAAGGGTTTAGCGTGATCGGTTTTCCGGGAACTGCGGAGGGTTGTTGACCTCAAACTTCTCAGTTCATCGACTGAAGTTTCGAGGACTAGCTCTGAATTCCTTCCTTTAAATGAGGCAAGATCATGAGAAATGAGCATCATAAGTGGAAGTTCTCTTTTAGCAGTAAAGCCAGGCTGCCGTGCTGCTGACTGACAGAGATTAAAGTCGTGGTCATTCAAGATGTCTCCACGCAGTTATCAGAGAGACAGCTTGAGCCAAGAAATTGTTTTACATAAAGCTGCATGTCATTTTTAGTCACTCTAAGAGGGCAGTAGAAAATTTAGCTCATTTATAGTTCGGAAATATAATTCACTGATTTGCTCAGTGTAGTCAAAACATTTACCTGAAGTTGTTTTGCTCAGCAAGGCTAAAAGAATTATAGTCAGGTTTGTGCTCAAAAGATCAGCGTTGCTGCTTTACCAGGTGTAACAATTAAGCTTAACATCCAGGCATCCATGAAAACAGGATTTATGAAATTTAATGGAGTTAGAAGTTAGCAGGAAGTTAGCTCGCTAGTTTGCACCTAAACATGATATAGCATGTTCTGACTGAGAGATTTCTGAAACATTCAGACGCACAGCTCTGCTGTCACTTCCAACATAAATGAAGACAGAAAACTAAACAGCAGTGACGTTTGTAGGGTTACTGAAGTTGGGCTAGCTGGTATATAATGATGTGCTACCTGGTGGCTAGCAACACAGCTATGTTAGCATAACATAAACACAGTGAAGCTGGAGGATGAACGCTTTTTTCCACTTGATAAAAGTTAACGTGAGAGTTCCCGATGGTTAGGGACAAATGCAATCGCATGGCAGGATGCTGTAAACGGACCAAACTCCGGTCAGGAGAACAACTGAGATAATCCATCCACAGTACGAGGTTAGTCATTCATATACTGCTGCATGGGCTGGAGATACATCGTAAGGTTTTAAAAACTGAGCTTTAAAAACACAACACAGAGTAATTTAGGCCTGGAAGCAGGATTCATCACGTCATCACTTAAAGAGAGCATGTGGGGTCCCACAGGGCTTAGACCTTGGACCTCTTTATAGAAATAAACTAATGACTGCCAGTTATGTCTCATTTAGTCCTGAAAAGAAAAAGTCCTCCCTGTACTTCTGTCTGCCTGGCATTAAAAACTCAATGACTTCTTGCAGTTTAACTCAGAAATATGATCAGAACAAAAACAAGGATTATAGTCTTATCCAACAGGGACACTCCCCATCTTGGACTGCTAAGAACCAAAGTAAAGCAATCTAAACTTTATTCAGATAGAAAATAATTAAATGCCTAATGGAGATTGTGGTATTTTCATCTTGCCTTTGGTCTCCAACAAGATTATAAAACATAATACCTCAATTTCTTCCAGCCTGATCAGAGGCCAGAAACTGATAAATAAGCCTAAATTTGAGTAAATGTTCAACTAAAGCTACCAAGTCACAATCTGAATAAACCTCAGAATCTCTGCCTTTTATTAACTTAGGCAAAAAGACACAAAGGGACAAAACAAATCTGACATTTGGATTTAATTGGTGAACTTAAAGATGAACAAAATCTTTGTGCTTCAAGTAAGGAGAGAAAAGTGTCAGACGTGACGACAAGAAGGAAAGTAATTTTTCCCTGTCAGTACTTCTTAAAAGCTTCTCTCGTGCAGGCAGATTGCTCTCTTGCTGGAAAAACGAGACAGACTGACTAACTCAAGAGAAGAATACGTCCGCAGACTAATGGGGCTGATTTAGCAGGGCTGGGTAATGGCTGATAGTAAGCAGCTGATGATGCAGGAGTGCAGTCAGAGTGAAGAAACCTAAACGGGGAAACTGGCTCTCAAAGTAATGTCAATAATTTATTATTTGCTTCCCACCCTGTTAACTAGCTGTGTCTCAATTTAAATCAGAAGCTGGATCTGTGATTGTTTTTCGCCTGTATGTGGAGTTGTGTTGTTTGTAAGCTAATGCTAGCTAGTGTTGCTCATTGTTGATGCTGGGAAATTAGGAAAGGGAATTGGACGTAAGCATCAGTGTGACTTTATCAACCTATCACATAGAAATCAGTCCACACGCTATTAAAGCCTAAAGAGAAAGATGGAGAAAATCTTTGAGTTTCATTAGAGTCTGTTCCAACACTGTCAATAAAAAGATATTAACACATTAAAAGTGAGGGCTACTGCACGTTTTAATATGCAGGGCAGCAGAGAGAGTGGTGCTTTTGTTGCTAGTAACTTTCCATATTCCTTGTGATTTCCATTTGAATACATCAGATGATTGTTGGCAGAGAAATTTGCCAATAAAAGCACGAAGGATGTCACATGTGCTTAATGCAAATGCAAAACCAATGCCAATTATTAAAAAATGCAAATGTGAAAAAAGAAATAGGAGAATTTTCATCCCATGGCTCATTAAGCAGTAAATGAGTCATCAGGTTTAATGAGCCTGTGCCCCAGGGTCCATTTAAATTACCCGGTTGGATGACCAAAATGCCCAAAAGGGCTGATGAGATGAGAGTGTTGATCCCAGGAGGGTCCAGATCAGTGGTGCTGATTTACAACAGTGTGCGGTTCTCTGCAATCCATTTACCAACGACTGTCTGTCAACAGAAAAACTGTATTTCAAACCACTGCATTGTTCAAACAGGTGGCATGCAGAGCTGCTGGTATCTTATAGTTTTCACACAATAAGTCATTATTAAAGTAACGGTCACCTGAAGATCAAAACAAGACACTTAGGCTACGTTCACTCTGCAGGTCTTAATGCTCACATCCGATTTTTTGATCAAATCCGATTTTTTTTGTCTACAAATGCGACAGCCAACGCGCTCTAGTGTGAACGCTCAAAGCGGCCGCATGCGCAAAAGAAGACGTCACACACAACGCGCTCTGTTTAGACCCAGACCAACAGTATTGTTTGACTGATGGCCCTTAATATAAAGACTTGTTTCTGACTTTACGTTTCACAATTTTGCTTTAAGTTATAAAGATATTTTGTTATTTACATTTGGCCTAATAATTATCATTATTGCTGTTTTAGAGGAGCGGTGCTTCAAAGGATAGCTGCAGATTTCTGTCAGAATCTGCAGATTATACATTACAAATAAAATGTTCACGTTTCTCCAACGTTTTCTTCTAAACAGTTTCACTGGATGGCCAGGAAGTGTTCGCGATGTCTTCTCCGGCGCTGATAATTGGCGTCTGTCCTGTGTCAGTGACGTAAAAGACGGATTTAATGCGACTTGACCATTCAAACAGCAGTCGCTTTCTAAAACAGATATGTATCGATTCAGTACCACATATGAAAGTGGCCCAGGTCGGATTTGTGCCGTTCACAATGTCATAGCATGATGGGATATGGGTCGCAGAGGGTCAAAAAAGTCCGATTTGATGCGCTTTCGCCTGCAGTGTGAACGTAGCCTTATTTAATCTACTTTTATTAAACCAAAGTAATAGATTATTGTTAAATCAGATGTATTAAGTAGACACTCAGTGTTGATCACTTCTAACAAAGTTTATATGATAGCTGTTAATTCAAGTTATCAATGGTTGATTAAAACCAAATATCAGTGGTGTTCCCTACTCCCCAGGAAAACTGACTATATAGCTAACTGATAGCTAGCATCTGATGTCAAGCTAATAGCTAATTAGCATTACCTTTGACAAAGAGACTAAGAGGACAAAAAAATCAAACAAAAAAATTATTGACACATCCAATTAGAAAACAAATGAAATTTTAGCAATTTATCTATATAAGCACTCATGCTAGCATTAGCCAACATTGACCAGACAAAGACGAAAAGTTAAAATTGGTCCATAAAACCAAACAAAGAATCTCCACGACTTGAACATCTGACCAAACAGTTTTCTCCTCATAGTCAATTTCCTAACAGGCTAGCGAGGCTCTAATAGATAAAACTGGGTTTCTTTTAACTAATGATAGCCGATATGCTAATAGTAGCCTACAAACTGTTTGACAACCATAGTAGCAGTTAGCTGCTATCTCTCTCATTTTATCTCTTGACAAATAAAAAAATAAAGTAATAAAAGAAACGTGGCTGTTTTTCGTGTAACATGTATACGGCTCGTATGTGTCTGAAGTTAAAATTTGTTTGCAATTCTTTGTTTTTCTTGATTGGAGACAAACAAACAAAGGGAAAATGAGCAGACTTAACACTGCTTTTCTTTCAAGTTTTAAACTGGTTTTAAACTGGTTCAGCTATATCATCATTATAGCTTTCCTAAACATCCTTTTTTCATGTCATTTCATTTCTAAACACGTGTACATTGGTTTTTAAACTGGACGTTTATTAAAGTGAGTTTCTCTCTTTGTCAAACAGGCAACCAGTGACGAAAAATACATTCAGACAGTACAGAGTTTTAGGAAAAGGTGGTTTTGGAGAGGTGAGTACTGAAAGTTTTTGTTACTTTAATTATAATGTGTTATGTTGCCATAATGTCATTAAAACAATCTTTCTTGGGCAGCTACAGTATATACAGGTAAAGTTACAAGAGTTAAAAGCTCAGAGGCTCTGCCCTCATTTGAGGTCAGTGAAGATTTGAATGAAAAGTTATGCATTGGTAAGTCAGAAAGTTCTAGACTTTAAGACATGTTTTTATTGGATTTAATCTCAAGCGTTAAGAAATCAGAGGCTGTAGATGAGTTTGTGGATCCTAACACTGGCCAAAGAAACAGAGGGCAGAAGGAAAAATTGTCAGTTACGTTCCAGTCATTTAGATTCAGAGAAATGGGTGCTGTTCACTGAGGTCAGACTAAAACAAATGCATTAAAACCTTTAAACGGTCTAATCGTGCAGAAGAGTTCAGTGTTCCTAATTCAATCTTTTCTTTGGCCCCTGAAATGAAGGACTTTATCGGAGGCATCTAAATCCTGTTACACACCACTGAATGGTGTCTCTGTGCCCTCTGTTCGTCTAATGAGACGAGTCTTTTTTAATTCCAAACACTGATAGCTGATTAGGCGTATACGCATCGGGTCATGAGATAACAGGGGACATTAAGTCAGGGTCAGTTTTGTCGGTTCAGATCACGGTGAGTCGAATTTACTGGAATCACAAGGAAGGTCGTGGTGAGGAGAAAACAGGGGACACCTTTAAGTGATACACAACGGCAATTCGGAGTGCTAACATTTTCTGACCTTCTTTGACCTGCATGAGGGGCTCTGGGGTCGTTCAATGCCTCCCATCTGACCCCCTCAGAGTCAGCTGATTGCTTTTGTACAGTAACTTCAGTATATTTAATGAAACCATGCAAATCTTACCTCCAGGCTCAGAGGATGATCTGAGCACTGATACTACCAGAAGGAGGAGGACACTGCACTGAACACAGCTGGATGCTCTCCTCTGAAGTTTGTACAAGTTAATAAAAGGGACAAGCGGAGCAGACAATGAAGCAACAAACCGCAAAGATCCCACAACCCTCCGCGCATTCTCCAGAAAGAAAAACAATGTTTGATCCGCGTCCAAGCTCCATGAAGCATGTCTGATTTAAATCCATTCCTCTGGTACAGTTTGGCAAAATCAGAACAAAACCCAGGGTTTGTTTCGGTCCTTCTGCGTCGAACAGTTTCACTCTGAATGATGTTGGATAAGATAACCATCATGTGTGTATTGTCACTGTAACAAATACAACATAAGTGTATTTGCAGTGTCAAAAAGAAAAAGCTTAAATGTGGTTGTTTTACCACAGCTTGTGTTTCTCAGCCTGTCAGTAGTGAGTTGTTTCTTTACCTTAACACTGCTGCTGCCTCACAAAAGTCACTACAGCTGAGACATTAAGTTTCCTTTAACTGTGTGTTTATGTGATAGAATCCAACGTGAACTCGTTTCCTCCTCATTTGCTGCAGTTAATAGTTTGATTTTTTTTTTAGTTTTCATGATTTTTTCAGTCAGTTTCCAGCGAGGTTTTGTAATGAAGCCCGTTTCCACCACTAAAAAATAAAAAACTATCCAGAACTCAAAATTTCAAGTTATTTTCTCAAAATTTTGAGTTAATAAGTTGAAATTTTGAGAAAATAACTCGAAATTTCGAGTTATAGATACTTTTTTGTGTGTGGTGGAAACGGGCTTCCATAGTTTTGTTGGTTTTAATTTTTCTTTTTTAAATGATGATATTTTCAGGGATCCTAACGTGTCCTTTTTCTTCCACCCCGTCGTCTGCAGGTGTGTGCCTGTCAGGTACGAGCCACGGGGAAAATGTACGCCTGCAAGAAGCTGGAGAAGAAGAGGATAAAGAAGAGGAAAGGAGAGTCTATGGCCCTCAACGAGAAGCAGATCCTGGAGAAAGTCAACAGCAGATTTGTAGTAAGTATCTCATCTCAGCTTCAGGTCGAGGGATCGTCGCGGTGGCAGTAATTAAAAGGCAGCGCTGAGGTTTGCAGCGTCTCTGCTGTGGTTTGATTCTCCACCAGATGGACTTCGTTCAGCTGTTATTTGATTTGGACGGCCGTCAGTCGGCTCGTCCGGGCTCTCGGGCCTACACCGTCTCCCGGGGTTTAATGCGAAAACTCACAGACAGCTTTAATTAACACATCTTAATCAGTTTGGAAATCTTTGGCACGAGGTTTTTGTGTTTATGTGTGCAGAACAGAACATGCTGAACTTCCTAAACTTGAAAGGATTACAGTTTTCAAAAGAAAACAGTCGACGGCGCCGACAAACTCAGAATCTCTGCAGCACGGCATCTGAGGACAGTGCGCACATTTTTGATGCAATTCAACGTCCTCGTTGCAAATACGTTTAAATCCTAAATGAAAACCAGCCACAGCATTTCCCCTGCATCAGTCAGTCGACCTCTCAGTGTCAGAGATCTTATTGGCTGCCTACAGATTCCACATATTAACATCCACATGTGTGTATGAAGAGCCGGAGCCTCGGTGAGCGTGTTGGCAGTGTGTGTGTAAGCAGCTGCAGCATACTGCTTAACAACCTCAGGGCTTTAGAGCAGCTCTCAGATCAGCTCGTCGATTTAGTCACAAACAGCTGAAAGTTGTGTGAATCATGCAAAGCCGCCCTAGAAGAGTCCATGAATCACTCCCAGCTCCAAATGCTTAAACACACGACTCCTGTCCATCTCCAGGTGAGTTTAGCGTACGCCTACGAGACCAAGGACGCCCTGTGCCTCGTGCTGACTCTCATGAACGGCGGCGATTTAAAGTTTCACATCTATCACATGGGTGACGCGGGTTTCGATGAGAAGAGAGCCATCTTCTACACCGCGGAGATCTGCTGCGGCCTGGAGGACCTCCACCGGGAGCGGATCGTCTACAGGTGAGCACCCGGACACCTTCCTCTCGTCTCATTGGCTCCTGCCTTTCTGCTCACTCTCCGTGTCTTTATCTTCTGCGTAGGGACCTAAAGCCAGAAAACATCCTGCTGGACGACCACGGTGAGTCCGATTACCGAGGAGGAGATATTGCCACCACAAACATCATCAAATCTTTAATTCTGCACGTCTTTCAGTAACATTGCACGATGAACTTTTGCAGTAATTCCAGTCAGTGTTTGGAAAAATAAAAATATGGCAGGTGGGGAGGAGGAGGGTGAAAATGAGGCCTTGTTAAAGATCTCTGGGAAGCAGCAAGTCATATTTATCTGACTCAAATACAGATTAAAAAGCATTTATGGTTAACGCAGCTCCGCTTCCACTCCAAGATTCACTTTTGCAGTTTCAGTGTTTGCTGTTAAACACCAGAGGGCGCTCTGACTCCAGGAAACTCGCCTCAGCCAGCGCCAGTCTCTGCTGACATCACTAACAGAGTGACTGAAGCTAAAGACAAACGCCATGAAAGTCTAAATCTGAGATTCTCCGTTTGCAAAAACGTGATGATTGATGGTTTGTTCCATGAATCTCAGCCTTCAATGGGAATGATTTCTAAACACAGTCCTGAGCCACCCCTCCTTTCTTTACAGTGAGCCAGACTCTGTTGTCACTTTCAAAGTTTCTTAAACAATAGTTCTCCAGCTCGCTGAGAGTCGCTCAGACCTGGACCACTTTAACTCTGACTTTTCAATAATTCGATCTTAAAAAGAGCTCAAGGGATGAACCAGTGTTGTGTCCACATAACAGACACGTTTGTAAAGAACTCGCAGTTTGTTACTAACACAAAAACACAATTTGTTTCCATTCCTTTAGATAAAGCAATAAAAATGACTGGAAGGTATTAATGCCATTTTGCAGCAAGGCGCTTTTCATAGAGCTGTTAGCTGAAAACTGATCTCAGCATGCTAACATATACTGAGATATGCTGGACAAGTGGAGGAAAAAAGAAGCGGCAGGCCTACAAAACTGTCTACAGTTGAATCACCAGTGACTGAAAGTCTCAAGAAGTCAGAAACAGGGGCCTGTGTAGAGCGAGTGGACCACAGGAGGGAGCTTTGAGCAGATGGGTAGATGGAGTAAATCTTTAATTAGCCGATTATCCTCATGTGTGCTAACGTTTGTGTCTTCAGGTCACATCAGGATATCAGACCTGGGTCTAGCGGTTCATGTGCCAGAGGGAGAAACCATCAAAGGACGAGTGGGAACAGTGGGATACATGTGTAAGTGACCTCTGACCTTTACTGAGCAAGTACATTTATGTGAGCACTGCACTAGAGTATGACGTGCTTTCACATCAAACACATTTCAAAGGAACGTTAAATGTTTTTACCAACTTTAATTTAACACTGAGACGTTTCACAGTAACAAAGCTTTTACACTTAACACTCGAGTGTTGGGAAACATTTGGTTCCTGTGTATTTGTACTCAGTTTATCTAGTTCAGGACTTTTACAAAGTGGTAATTGTACTTTTACTGTAGTACAAACATCCACCTTACGATCCAGATTTCTAATTTCTCTCCCACCGCCTCCTCGCTCCCCTCCAGCTCCAGAGGTGGTGAAAAACGAGCGGTACACCCTCAGCCCTGACTGGTGGGCGCTGGGCTGCCTGCTGTACGAGATGATCGAGGGCCAGTCGCCTTTCCAGCAGAGGAAGAAGAAGATCAAGAGGGAGGAAGTGGAGCGGCTGGTGAGGGAGGTGGAGGAGGAATATTCCAGCAAGTTCTCCGAGGACGCCAAGTCCCTCTGTAAAATGGTGGGTGGATGCGCCGGCGAGCGGCCAAATCAGCTTCTTTCTCTTCGGCGTCTTTAGCTCCCATCTGCCACCTCAGTCACGCCATCAGCTGACTGATGTTTTCGTACTCCGGTTTTTAGACTCAGCTTTTCAGAGTGGCTGAAACGTTGCGGCGAGATCTCCCTGCTCCCCGCGATTATTCGTAATCGTCCAATACTCCTGGATCCAGGAGGACGTGTGGATCCAGATCAGCTGTACCCAGATACATTCATCCAGACTCAGAACCGAACATAAGACAACGTCAGCTCATAACTCCACGAGGCTGGGGGTGTGTCTCCCCCCAGAATCCAGCCTTCTTTGGCGTGAAAGGCAAACATTTTAAAACGCTGCACCACGTCATGGTCGAGGGCCAAATCACAAACCTCGTTATAAACATCGTCCCAGATTTTGGTGAATGGACGAAACAAATGACCGAATTCTCACGCAGAGAAACGTCCAGGGACACGATGCAGACGTGTGCGTTTGCCGTCTTCGCGGCGAGTCGTCCGTCTGCGGTTCAGCCATGTTTGCTGAGTCTGCTAACAAACAGAAGACGGAATAACCTCCCAACAGGAAATACTGCAGTTTGTTTTTGGTCATTGGTCAGATCTCCACCTGCATCTTTTTTTAAATGAAAGTCAGGTGGGAGGTTGATTAAGGTGAGATCTGTGGTTCACCTGTAGTCTGAGTTTATCCTGACTCATAATTGGACACCTGGAGGGCGAGTGCACACGGCTCAAAGATGGGAAATTATTGTCATCTCACTGCAGGGTTTCAGGAAAACCTGTTCCATGCTTAGGAAAACAAGCTTTAGACGAGGGAACTTCCTCCTGAAGATCAGAGTCACGATGCGTGAGACTGTGGAGGCAAGACAAGCAAAGCTGGTCACTGGCACTGTGTCTGCTTCGTTTTAATGAAGAGGGTAGCAAACATCCAGAACTCTTTGCCTTTGGCTGCTTTTCGCAGACACGTCATGCTTTGAATACAAACACACAGCTTCCTGCTAAAACTCTGAAAAACTGGTGGAAAATGAAACCCGGCTCAACTTTTGTCTGAGGCGTAACCGCTGATGCTTTAACGCCTGACCTGAAGCAGCAACTCTCCACCTTCTCTAAAGCTCTGCTGTGTTTTTCACCCCTCAGCTGCTGGCCAAAGATCCCACCGAGAGGCTGGGCTGCCTGGGGGGCGGAGCCACTGAGGTCAAAGCTCATCCCATCTTCCGCTCCATCAACTTCAAACGGCTGGAGGCCGGCATGCTGCAGACACCCTTCATCCCTGATGTAAGTCCAGAGCGAGCACACCGACATGCTCACTAGTTTAGCTTTATTAAAAAAAGATTTTCATTTTTATCATGTAGATACTCGAAACTCAAAACTCGGCTTCTGAAGAATCGTTGACAAGTTTGTGACTTGACGTTCAGGTACGAGCCTGAAAACAGGTTTGTTGGTGACCCGAGATGAAGTCTGAGACTCTTCATCCGTCACACATTCATTTTTGTTTCCCCGAGTGAAGACAAATGATGAGATCTGTATCTGTCAGTGCGTACAGAGTTTGCCTTTATTTTGGAAGGTTCAAAAGTACAAAGTTCAAAGTTCAAAGGTTGGAAAAAAAACCTGAAATCCAAAAATAAACACGAGAAATCAGGAAGGACACAGCGAGCAAATCAGGGATCATAAACAGAAGTCTTAACAAACAAGACTATTTATAGACGAGGCAGTGATGACACAACGAGGCGCATGAGGGAGCAAAGCACACAGCAGCTGACAACAGTCAGCGACAGGTGAAGACGAGGGGGAGGGGCAAGAAAATGTAAAAACTAGACTCAACAGCGTCTAACCAATCAAAAGGTGTTTCATACATCACATGACTCAAGCGCCACCTACTCCACAGATGGTGATTAAAAATCTATACAAACATAAAACTGTTATAGAAGGACTTGTGATTCTTGTGAGTTAGTGCAAAATAAACATTTAATTCCACCCGTGAGACTAAATACACAAGAAGAAACAAAACATTAAATATCACAAAAATACCAAACTCAGTAACATCTCTGGGGTCACGTCATGTGGACATCGCTGGGATCAACGATGATTCTGTGATTCTGCCGTTAAAACTATCAGAGCTGTCTGTGCATCATCAGCCAACATCACAGACTAAGGCTGCGTTCACACTGCAGGCGAAAGCGCATCAAATCTGACTTTTTTGACCCTCTGCGACTCATATCCCATCATGCTATGACAGTGTGAACGGCACAAATCGATATTTTCAAATCCGATCTGGGTCACTTTCGTGTGAACGCTTTGAGAGAGCGCGTTTGCTGTCGCATTTTATTTGTAGTGTGAACGAGCAGACAAAAAATCGGATTTGAGCATTAAGACCTGCAGAGTGAGCGCAGCCTTAGCCCGGCGTGAGCCACGCTCACTTTATTCAAGCAGCAAAAAGCCTCCAATCACGTCACCGATCCAAACAAAGACAAAGGTCCGTCTTAAAGCCAGGCTGCACTAACTTAAGTAATAAAATCAATTTAATCACTTAAGTCTGGATGGTTTTGAGGTTTTCTGTGTCGTTACTTGATCTGATTCAAATGGCTGAATCACCTCCTCAACAAGTTCTCCAGACGCCTGGTAACGAACCAGTCATGTGACTCAGGTGTGTTGACCCAGGGTGAGATCTAAAACCTGCAGGACACCGGCCCTCGAGGCCTGGAGTTGGACACATCTGGCATAAAAGATCGACCGGATCCTGATCCGACCCTCAGAATCAGCTGATGCATTTTTTATGAAAGAAAGGAGGAACTGCAGATGCTCGGCGTGACTGAGGAGGATGAAATGGAGGCAGATGATCCTCGGTGGTGACCTCTAAAGGAAGCCGCTTAAAAAAGAAGATTCAGTTATTTTTTTATTCTGCATTTTTGAACCCTCATAGCTTCATAGGCAGTTTTCATGTAGATGTAAAAATGAATTAAGTGACTTAAAAAGCACCAAATGTTCGACCCACTCTGCCTGCTCTGAGGACCAACGCTTAGAAAACCTCCAGCGTGTGATGTCAGATACTGGCTTTATTAATGGAGCTGATTCTGAGGGGTCAGGTGGGACGACCTCGCTGATTTTGTGCGTTAGCCGATAATGCGAGAGCCAAGTATCTAATAATAACTCTGAGTGAGAGGCTGTACAATGAGAGCACTCCACAGCACCGTGAGTGCGTCTCCGAGGCCCTGGCGTGATTTCTGTGAAGCTGCTGCACGGCGTCTGTAACAGGAAGGATCCATACAGCAGGTTTCGTGTTGGGCGGGTACAGAGCGAGCTTGCATCTAATCAAAGAGACGCAGAGTTTGGTTTCAAGGTGTTTTTCCCCTTCAGGTGTGCCTCCAAAAGAGGCCACCGACGAGGCAAACTGGCAGGTTGCAAAACATAAAAAGGAACTCAAAAGACTGAAGGCGCTGTCAGGGTGAAGCAGGAGCTTCCCAATAAAAGCCAAAGAAGACTGAAAAGGTAAACGCAGACTTGTGCTGGAGGTAAGCTGACGAGGGGAGGGCGAAGACTCGGGGTGATGCACGTGGAAACGCAAAGGCAGGAAGCCAACGTGGGGTCAGATAACTGGAGATGTTTGGACTTGTCTCTGCTGAGACTGACGACCTTATCGGCTGTGTGTGTTTGTGTGTTTCAGCCTCAGGCCATCTACTGTAAAGACGTGTTGGACATCGAGCAGTTCTCCACAGTTAAAGGGGTGGAGCTGGAGCCCAAGGACGAGTCTTTCTACAGTAAAGTGTCCACGGGCAGCGTTTCCATTCCCTGGCAAAACGAGGTTAGAGACTCACACTCGGCACACTCCTGCTGTAAAAAATGCAGGAAAAGGAATTTGTTCTCCTGATGATGTTACCACCAGCATCATGATTTTTAGAGGTTTTGACATTTATGACTAACAGCAGTGAGAAAATGTTAAACATGTTGCTGCTGCTCCATCTCAGTAGGAGGAGGATAAAAATACCTAATTGGAAAAACACAGTCCTCACTTTGTCGTTGCGCACACTGTTCACCCGAGAAAATGGTGACTGTTAGGAAAAGTCGCCTGACCTTTAGAGCAGATTTCAGTTTAAAACATAAATAACAGATGGAACAAAACATAAAAAGGGACTCAAAAGACTGAAGATGGGACTAATTAAATTATAATTGATATAAGATTACATTTTTTTTAAGTACAGGAAAGTACATTCAACAAGCCAAAAGCACCAGCACACGAGTTCTTGCAAAGACAGGAAGTTACAGGATGGTTCACACTCCCCCAGTAATTAGATGCAGTGCTCAATTCCCAGAGAACCGTGGTTACACGAGTAACCAAACATTATATTTGTTCTTTCGAAAAACAGTCTTAAAACATGTTACAGAAATCAAGCACAGCTTTAATCAGGGAGGCCGTAAAGTCAGTCCAGGCTGCTTTGCAACCCACCTTCATCCCTTTTTCATGCCATGTCAAACCTGCCAGATCTGTCGCCACCTGCTTCACTAACGGCTGCTGTCCAGAACAAGTCGAGCCTTTTGACCATGTTAGTGGTAAAAAGAACAAACTCCTTACTGCCCCGTGTTTTTGCACAGGTTCTGAGATTTTTGTGTTTTTCTCGGCAGATGATCGAGACAGAGTGTTTCACAGAGCTCAACGTTTTCTACCAGGACGGGGCGGTTCCTCCTGACCTGGACTGGAGAGGACAGCCGTCTCCGACACCCAAACAGGGACTCCTGCAGCGACTGTTCGGCAGAAATGTGAGCAACCTCCCTCACCTCCAGAACATCACCGCTCTTTTATTTACCAGCATACATCAACACACGCGAGCTGTGAGCTAGCACAAAGTACACTAAACTGTGTAGTGTAAGCTAACTCCACAGACGGACGTCAGTAAGGCGGAGTTAATATGGTAAAACAGCAAGATGGTAAAAAACAAAAAAGACCAGTAAATACATACAATACAAATACATGAATAAAATTTAGTCGATAGAAAAATGATCTGCATTCATCTGTGAATGACAGTAACATCGGTGCTCTCTTCCTCCCCCTGCAGGAGTGCTGTGGTAACTGCAGCGACAGTGACGAGGAGCCCACCAGGCTGTGACAAACCACACACATACCATCTGATTTGTTTACAACTTTTGCACATTTGTATTTTTACGGTAGTCCTATCTAAATGTCAGAATGTAAATTTTCATCATAGCCATAATGTTTAATGTTATTTAAAAGTGTGAAATATCTGCTGTTTCAAATCAGGAGGCGGAGACAGAAAACGAACTCTGGTTTTTTTGGTTTTTTGCCTTTTATTTTTAGTTTGTTGTTGTCATTTGTCCAGGGAAGACTTTGCTTTTGTTTTCATCCACTCACACACTGAACTGAGGGCTGCTTCTGGCTGCGAAGCAGCTCCACTGGAACAAGCGCCTGCTGTAGAAGTGCCTTGCTTGAGGGCACTGTGAAGTGAGGACCGAACATTCCTCCATGTCTTTGTCCAGGGAAACTTTCAGCCTGTGAACTGTGACCACTTCTTCTGCCCTCCATCCTGCTGAGATGAACCTCACCGCTTTTTTATTCTCTTGTTTGCGAGCTGGGACATTCAGGGTTTGAACATTTGGGTTTTTTTCAGAATTTTCCGATGGATTTCATGAGACAATCGACTCCTCGTGTGTGTCAGCGCAGCTTCAGTCACTCTTGTCAGTAAAATATCAGTTTTCAGATGTGATGGGAGATGAGCCGTCCAGTTTTAACAGAAACTCTGAGATAGAAATGATCACCCTTAATCACTTCTGGTCACTCAGAGCTGCATTGACCTACACACCTTATTGTGCCTTCATTTCACTCACTCTGGTTTATCCTGGCGAGGTTTGGAAAGCAGCTATGATTACGTACTGGCTGAAATTCAGAGCAGCAGCAACGAAGACTGTTACACCAGCTCTGGTAGTTTCCAAACTGCCACCTTTAACCCCTGATAATAACAACATCAGCCCGGGTTTCGTTTACCCACCAAGACATCTGGTTGTCCAAAGGTTTTTGTTTTTCTTCAGTGGCATAAATGTTGTTTCAATCACAAGAGTCAGCATGAATGAAACTCAACATGTCACAAAGATCTACAGTGATTGTGATTGATTGTCTAAATAAAAGATGAAAGTATATGACTGAAGACACAAATCTGAATTAGTTGGTAAAAATCAAACTACAAAATGATGACACAAATAGTTACTACTTATTTTGTTGCATATCGCGAGACAAGAGAAGGCTTGTGTGATTGTGAAGGAAACCAAAATCATCATGTAGGCCAATGACACACTGATCTACGTGCACCGGGTCATGTTACAAACCGGCTGTGCTGGCAGCCGGTGCAAGCTGCTTTGCAACCCCCCGCCAAACCCAGATCCTGTCACTGATGCTGTAGCTCCCAGACCAGACTCATACTGCCAAATATAAAGCGCTGCAGATAAAGCAATGAGGCTTTTTTCTTTTCGTCCCAGTGTTTAGTGCTGCACACTGCGTTTCTCTCAGGGTTTCTGCTGCCTCCAGTTGCTCTGGGTTCTTTCTACTCAGTCCAGACTCTCTCAGTCACTCTGAAACTGAAACGACAAGAATAACTGAAGCTCTGGGGTCAAACCCTGAGACGGTTGGACGGTTACAGTCAATGGTTTTCTATCTCTAAGCTATTAAAATGAAATACCTCTGAATGTACAGACTGGCTGCCATGTTGTTTCTGCAGAACGACCTTTAAGACAACAGATGCAACTAGACGCCAAAGTCTCACAAACATCCGTTTGTTTCTGCTGTTATGTTAATCCTCCGTAGCGGATGATTTTGGAAACCCTCCTCTTGACTTACAGGCTCCAGAATTAAAGCTGTACCATAAAATACGGTCACTTTTTAAGACTTTCTTCACCAAGTTTTATAAAAGAAAACATGATTTGACACTTTGCTCTAGTCGTGTTTCTGTATTTGGAGCACTGAGCTGTTATAATTATGGCTCCCTAAGTATCCCAGCAGACCAGACAGGAAGTGCTCTGTGATAGGATGGACCTCCATGACCCCTGACCCGCTGACCGTTTAGTGCGCCTGATATCTCTAATGTTAAAGAATAAATGGAATTTTCCTTTAGCCAGTCAGATAGTGAGATTGATCACTGAGGTGAATCATGACCTTATCGTGTATTAAATGCAGCTAAGTAAACGCCCGGGCATGCCCACTGTGCAGGAAAGGCAAACATGAGCGTGACTGATGGTTTCTTCCATAAATCTCAGACTTCAGTGGGATCCTGCTTACACGACAGCAGGAAAAACTGCTGCTTTTAGCGTTCGAGGACAAATGATCCAGTTTTTTAAAAAGTTAACGTGATGTCAAAGGTTCTGAGCCACTGAGGTCAGGAATCCTCCAGGCTTCCTGAAGGTGTTTTAAAGTTTTTCTTTGGACATCGGCTGCTTTGTCACCTGACTATTGCAGATGATTGTTGTTTTGTTTCTTAAGTCAGTTAACACTGACCTATGAATCATTAAGCATAAAGTATGCACCCAACTCAAGGGATTAACCAGCATTTTGTCTACATTTAACAGACAACTTAGCAAACATCCGATTTTAAATCGTATCTTTAAGCACTTACTAGCATCCAATTGCAAAAACATCATTTGTTCCCATTTCTTTAGTTAAGTCTGTGCAAAATCACAAAGGTAACACGGTTTGACAGACAGAATCATATTTTTCCACCAACGAGGTGATTCTCAAAGAGTGATTAGCTGAAATTAGTACGTTAAGAAAGAGGGAAAAATCCAGGCCTCTATGTGACCTTCAGCTGATCCAGCTACTGTTTTATGAAGCGTCATCAGCAGGAGTCTCAGTGACACCAGAGCTGGACTGAAAATCAGCGGTGACAAGGCTGATGAATCCAAATGTAACTCTTTTCCTTCTGCAGCCATCTGTAAAACACACTGTGTGACAGTTTAAGCTTCATTGTCGCAGTAATTGTCAAAACCGATGAAATTTTGACCCCAAAATGTAACATCAGAATTTAATACCAATATCATCTGAAAAGGATCCGATTGGCAGCAGCCTGTATTTTCAGCGCACCTTTAAAAACACACTATCAGTGCAGTAAAAGCATACCTGGATACCTGGATCGGCTTCCCCAGAGCCCGGACGCTGACCAAGGATAGAACAAAACGCAGAAACATCACAAGAAGAGCTTTAAATGTCTCTCAGGGAGCCTTGAGAAGGATTCCTGAAGACTGCTGAAGAACACAGGCGATCATACCAAATATTGACTTTTGCCTTACGTGCTGTATTTCCATGTATATTTGCACGTTTCAGTAAATCGCTGCATCTATTTTACATTTTCCAAGCAAAATAGAAACAAAAGACTCAACCCTGTGAGGTACAGCACTGTGCAAAAGTCTTACGTTTTTAGTTTCTGGCCCAAACTACCAGTATTGTTCCTCCTGCGCTTCAGTTTTGAAATGCTTCGATGACAGACAGAGTTTGGAAACGTCAGTGTGTCAGTGAACACCAGCATCTGTCGTCACTGTGATTTATATAATAATATTATTGTCTCTAAATGACAGGATGAAACCTGATGTCAACCACATCATTAACAGGGGTCTGTGGATCTGAAGTTTAGTTACACAGACTCACTGGAAGAAGGAAGCACATCACCTCCACTGAATGTAGCCAGAGCCGATCTGCACATGCGACAAGTTTTATTTATGCCAGTTTTAGACAAAAATATCCATAAAGCCCCAGAAACTAAGAAGTCTCCAATCTGAAATAAAACAACACTTTTGTTCTCTAGTTTTTCTTGAAGCAAAGCTGAGTTTTCCCCCCTGAAACACAGCCACCCTGCTAATGCGTGCTGATTGGTCGGTTAAGGACAGACTCAGTGGCGTCCAGCTCCAAATGATAGCCACGCATTAGAAGGTAAACCACAGCAGAAACTTTGCGTGTAGAAGAGACGTCTGATTGTTGTGCTGCTTGCGTCACGCTCAAAATAAAAATGGAGGATGCCCCAAAGCAGCTTGTGGTGCTGCGACGTCCTGTATACTCACAGAAATGCATTTAAAATCCGGGTGTTTGGAACTTTGTACGCTCTCTCACCCAGAACAAAAGAGTTTATCCACCGGATTTACATTTTTCAGCTCCACAGAGTCCTGTTCTGGACTACCACAAAGGTTTCCATGACACAGGAAGTCCAGCGTGCTGAAGTGATCCGTTAGAGGCTGTCTGACTTTGACTGACCACAATCAGTTTGAGTGAGCTGCTAAGAGTCCCAGGAAGGAGATGCTAATCTTAAGTATCAGTTCAGGAAGTTCAGCTCACCTGCAGATCAGATGATCTCAGAGCCCACCCACATCAGGTTCAGCTGACACCAATAATTGTGCAAACCGCTTTACAACCCACCTCCACCACAGCTCCTCATTTCATCCGCTGCCTGACTTGATCAGTGTCACAGAAATGGATGGAAATAATCTCATGAGCATCAAATCTCAACTGTCTCAATCTGAAAGTATTTACAGGAGCTTTTGTTGTGCATCTGAAAGCCACTCGGCAACCCCACCCCTTCTTCTTATTTGATACCGGCTCTGTTCTGTTGTGGAAGGAGCGTCATCACCAAATCTAATATTTGGTGTCTGCATGTTCCTCATTCCTCTGTAGAGGAAATGGGTTAAAATAATAAAGAATTAGTCTTTGACAACGGCAAGAAAGCTGGGCCAGCTGTCTAGAAGCTTTACTGCCGTTTGGTAAAAGAAAGTTACTGAACTGCGAGTGAGCTGTTGATCAAACGTTCTAGCCTGAGTTGAAAAACAGAACTTACCTTTAAAAAATGTATTTTTCTCATCAGTCCACTCTTTGATTCTGAGCTGTGTTTCAGTTTTCTTTGTGTAAATCAAGTCAAGGTGTGCCTGCTGTTCTCAGCCAGGTCGTTTTAACCAAACACGTCACGTACAGAAAATCACAGATCCCATCCTAAGTGTCTTTTGGTGTTTGAAGGTCCTCTACGACATTCACAGTATGTTTGAAGCCTGCTGCTGCTTCCTCCCGTCACTGGTGTGTTTTTCATGTGTGAGGAGGTTCTCAGTCACCCAGCTCATGTCACGGTGGTCTAAAGTTATTTTTTATGTTATTCAAGATGTTTGACCATCTCATCCATACAGACATATTGAGTTATAAGAGCTGATGGGGATTCATCGCAGGTACATTGAATGAAATGACAGGATGAAGGTTGAATCACCTGTGAGGCCCTCAGCTGAACTTCCAGGTGGACATCGACGCCTCCGTCGCTCCTCTCTCAAACCTTCGATCTATTAGGTGCAGATGTGAAGCTGAGTGGCGCCTTGACGACAGGGCGTCTCTGGATTGGTTGCTGGGTTTCACTGCAAACACCGTCTGCCACCTCGGTTCTTATCTGACGTGTCAGATATGACCGTAACCAGCTGTGAGGTCACTCAGGTCTGGACCTCACTCATCTTTATCAAAACAAAAGACAAAAAAATCATCATGAATCAACATGCGATGCTCTAGATCACTTTTACTTTGAAAAGCCTCTACAAAATTCTGCGACACTACGGCCCGCCCTAGATGCCTGTGATTGGGTAGAGTTTAGGTTGATGCACGACTCACGAGGAACAATAATTGATTGATTTAAGCTTTTTGTTTCATATTATAGTTTTACACACACACAACCTGCAAAATGAAACCTGATTCATTTGTAAAACCTGGTTATAGCTCAACACCTGGACAGGTTAGGACATGTTTGGGAGTTTGACCCGGCGATACTGTGTGTCAATGAGGATGTTACGCTTGGAGAAGAATCTTCAAGGGCATGTTTGCGAGTGGTTGCCCCGTCGTCCTGTCCTGTGAGTCACTGAGGACGCTGTGCTTGGATAGGAATGACTCACAGGAGACCAGACACAGATACAGGCCACAAAAACACAGCTTCCATCAACACTAAATGGAGAAAGGACTGTTTCAAAGAAACTGTTTCACATTATGAACTTCAAAGTCAGGCTCTTTGAGAGAAAAGCTCAACTTGCATCCAGACCTCGATCTGCTGCAGGTTGAATAGCCAGAATTTTAAGTTGCAGTCAACTTCTTCAGTCCGATCCTGTGATTCCTACAGGAACAAAACTGACTGTAGTTTTGGTTTGAGGAGACCGAACCTGTTTGATTTTAACCTTTAAGCTTTTTCAGAAACTCCCACTATCCCAGCCACTGACAAAATATCCCAGCAGTCAGAGTAACTTTATGCATCAAGCAAAAATAAATTCTGTCTCTGACTTGAAGAAATTAGTTTAACATTTAAACCTATTTTCTGTATATTCCAGCACATAAAATAAAATATTTTTGTGTTTACGCTCACAAATAGATGCGAGTGAAACACAGCAGAAAATAAATAAAATCAAAGACTTTGTGCTCCTGTTGCTCTATTGTGCTCACAGCAGTCGCACTTTCTGCACCTGCTGCAAGATGGCAGCAGCATGTCTCCTTGTTGAACGTCTGCTTTGAATTTGTGGGGTATTTTTTTGTTTTTTACTATTTTAAATGGGTTTTCGTTTTTTCCAACAAGCTTTTTTAAAGTATTCTCTAAATTCTTGGAAAGTAGTCTATTTATTGGGCCTGTGCTGCCGGCTGAACCAACTGCATCTGTGTTGCTAGTGGAAGACATCAGCACCACACCAGGGCCTGTGCTGCTAGAAAAAGCTCATCTGCATCACATCGGGCGCTGTGCTGTTGACTGAAGCCCCCTCTGCTAGCACATTCATCAGGATCTGAGCTTCTGGCTGGAGCCTTACTTGCCATCCTAGGTTGTGCAGCCTATTTAATTCAGCATCAACAGTCATTGTGTGTTTTGGACAATGGCTTTCTTAATAACTTTACTTTGCTTATTGGCTGTGGGGGACTTTGGGACACTCAGTTTTTCTAAGATG